CCCCAGGGGGGATGGTCACGCCGCAATCCCTTCTCCTCCATTCTCCTCTCGGGATCTTGGGCACGCACGTACACGCGCCCGGCGTGAGTTTTAAGCCACCGGGTCCGGGACACAAACCGCGGTCGGTCGTCTATGTGGGAGTCCAGTGACATAGCCATTACGCTAACTGCTGGTTGCCGGAACTTCTATACTTGTTTAAATGCTTATCTGCCTACTCTGTGCCTCTTGCCATTAAAACGCAAACGCCACCAAAGAGGAGGGAGCTTGCTGCACGTTGGCCTGGCCTGGCAGCCTAGAACAACACTTGGTACTGAGCAGCCACCCCAGAGACGTGAGGCAGGTATAAAAGCGCTCAAGGAGCTGCAGAAACATGCTCGCTAGTCACCCAAGGCAATGTGGTTGGACACCTGGGTCCCTTCTACACAGTTAGCTAAAAACCTTCAAATGTAGTCTAGTCAGAGCCATCATAATAGAGGGCACATTACAGATCAGGTGTAACTGAACTCAGAATAAAGGCTACAGAAAGACCTTTTCAAAAAAACCAAACAAAAAACCAAACTTTTTATCAGATTTGATTAAAAAAAAAAAAAAGAGTTAAGGTGTGTGTATTTGCAGGGGTAGGGGTGGTGGGGGGGAGAAAGCGCCCTCCCCATGGGGATGGTTATTCCACAATCCCTTATCTTCTTCCCTTCTTTCGGGATTTTAGGCACACCTGCACATGTGCATGGTGTTTTTCAAGCCTGGGTCTAGGACTTGAACCGTGTACTTGTCCACGTAGGATCCAGCTGCCTTAACCACCTCACCACAGGCTGGTCAAGAATATTTTTTTTTTTTTGGAGAGGTTTTTTTTGCTATAGGGTGCGTGCGCTCGCCAGACAGACAGAGAGAGACACAGAACAGAAAGCGAGAAATCGCCCCCCAGGAGGGATGGTCATGCCGTAATCCCTTCTCCTCCATTCTCCTCTTGGGATCTTGGGCACGCACACACACGCGCTTGGCGTGAGTTTTAAGCGACCGGGGTCTGGGATGCGAATCGCGGTCGACTACGTGGGAGTCCAGCGACATAGCCATTACGCTAACTGCTGGTCCCCAAGAATTTTTTTAAAGAGGCTTTTGCCTTAGGGCATATGCACCTGCGGGTGTGTGTGTGTGTGTGTGTGTGTGTGTGTGTGAGGAGTTAGAGGCACTGAGAGTGAAAGTGAGAAATCATCTTCCCAGGCAATTCCATCTCTGGTCTTCTCCTGAGATCTTGGGCATGCAGTCATACCACCCAGTGAGATTTTCAGGCCACTGGGTCCAGGATCTGAAGCACAGTTGGCCATGTGGGAGTCCAGCAGTGTAACTGCTCCACCATTTGCTGGCCCCCAAGAATGTTTATGTGCTCCAGGGCATGTGTGCTTGCTGGGAGGAACTACCTCCCCTCCACCAACGGGGCCCAGTCACGCCGCAGCCCTTTCTCCACTTCTCCCTCTTGTGAGGGTTCGGGCACACACGCACATGTATCTGGTGTGGTTTTCAAGCCATCAGGGTTGGGATACAAACTGTGGTTGGCCATGTGGGATACAGACCCATTAGCCACAGGCTACACGGCCAGCCTTACATTATGAGAAATGTTAAAGAAAGTTCTTCCAGCTGAAAAGAACTAAGAAGAGAAACTCAGTTTTCTATGATGGAATGAACACCGGAAAATGGTAAGTCTAGGGAAGAGTAATCCCGTTGTCTGGTGGCTTTAAACAAAGGCGGTGGAACATAGAGGACAGCTGGGTCTCAGGCCCTGGCCGCCCAGCAGACTCCTAGAGGGTGCGTGCTGGGGCTGGGACAGGCTTACAGTGCGCAGGTGGTGGTGGCAATGGCTCCATGAAGTTGCGAGGTTTCTGTTTTGTAGAAAGTGATGCAAGACTGGGGCTGGCAGGTGGTGAGGTGGTTAAGGGCGCTGGACTCCCACGTGGCCGACTGTGGTTCAAGTCCCGGACCTGACAACTTGCTTTCTCCCTCTCTCTCTCACTCTGTCCCTCTCTGGTCAAATTAAAAATGAATAAATAAAGTTAAATAAAATAATTCTAAAAATAAAATTAAAAAAGTGATGAAAGAATAAAAGTAGGCTAAGAAGTTAAGGACAGAGGCTGGGAGGTGGTGTGGTAGTTAAGGTGCTGGACCCCCACATGACCGACCATGGCTTGAGTATCAGACCTGATGGCTTGCTTTCTCACTCTTCCTCTCTCTCTGTTGTTCTGATCAAATTTTTTTTTTAATTTATTTTATTTTTATTTATTTATTTATTTTTTTTGGAGAGATTTTCACTGTAGGGCACGTGCGCTCGCCAGACAGAGAGAGACATAGAGACAGAAAGCGAGAAATCACCCCCCAGGGGGGATGATCACGCCGCAATCCCTTCTCCTCCATTCTCCTCTCGGGATCCTGGGCACGCACGCACACGCGCCTGGCGTGAGTTTTAAGCCACCGGGTCCGGGACATGAACTGTGGTCGACTACGTGGGAGTCCAGCGACATAGCCATTACGCTAACTGCTGGTTCCCCTGATCAAATTTAACAATAACAACAACAAAAATAAATAAATGAATAGTTCTTTGAAAAGAGATGTGTTTTTGAAGTTAAGGACAAATATTGCACCCCTAGAATGACCACCAAAAAAAGGGCAGAGAGGCAAAGTTGAAAAATCGTCAGATAAACGAAAATGAAATTCTCAAAAACACTCAAATAATCCAAAATAAGGCAAGAATGGAGGATTAGACAAAGAACAGAGGTGGCAAACAGACATCCAATGATGAAATGGTAGCTCCAAACCCAACCGGCCACCAAATGGACATGAAATGCTGACGGACCGGGTAACCTAATGTGTCTGACGCGGAGCTCCTCGCGGGCTATTGCTTAAGTTCACGCTATTGGAATGGCTGGAAGAACCAAGCTCCATCGAGAAATTAAAACAAAATTCTGTTCCAAGCCAGTGAGTCCTGCAACCACGGTGGAGATCACCTCAGAGAATTTTCCCGTTGTCAGCCATACACAGAGCCCTTCAGAAGTAACTCCAATTAAAGAGGAGCTCTCAACAACAAAAATGATATACTACACAAGGAGTTCCACGACCCAGAGAGAACCATGGTTCAGGAGGGATCTGAACGGGACCGCAGCCCGAGTGGGACTCTGACATGTCCAGGAGGGGCTAAGACATGGGCTGGGTCTGAGAGAACAGTACTGGCTGTTTTCCTCTTAAACCATTTCTTTGACGGCACAAGCCATGTGAGGCTTAGTAGTACTGAACCTGAATCAACATGTATGTCCGCTGCTATGCTGGAAATATACCTGTAACTTCGAACGTGGTCCATGGGTCTTACATGTGTGCCTCTTACAGAGTGTCATTTTTACTATAATTGTATGGTGAAGACAAGTATTGCTCAGTTGTTATTTATGTGTTTGTTTATTTTGGAAAGATTTTTTGCTATAGGGCGTGTGTATTCACCAGAGAGAGACAGAGACACAGAAAGCGAGAAATCACCCCCCAGGGGGGATGGCTACGACCCAATCCTTTCTCCTCCACTCTCCTCTCGGGATCTTGGGCACGCATGCACATGGACCAGACATGAGTTTAAGCCACCAGGTCCAGGACTCGAACCATGGTCAACTACATGGGAGTCCAGTGACACAGCCATTATGCCAACTGCTGGTCCCATATTTTTTAAAAGATTCTATCAGGATGAACTAGAAAGCTAAGCATCTACCCTACAACAATGTTTTCAGAAGTGCACGAGGGAGCCGGATGGTGGCCACAGAAAAACGCGCTGGTCTGCAAGGCCGACGCACGTGAGAGGCTCGGGGTTTGCATCTGGAGACCTCCTTGGGTACACTGGGCGCCGAATGCCCACAATCAATGGCCAGTGAAAGCTGGGGTAAACTGTGGCATCGAGATCCTGTTGGGGGTACTGTTTCCCTCTGTCTTTCTTGCTCATGAAAGAATTGAATAAACAAACAAAAAAAGTAAATCAATTTAAAAAAAAAGCAAATGAGGTAAAAAATCAGGTATAGGTGCTTACGGTGTCATTTGAAAAACATGCTATGGACCAAACTTTCCAATTGGAAGGAAAATATCATCAAATGATAAACTGCAAGTCCCAATTATAGACTATCTATAAAAGATGTAATTTAAAGACAGGCAGAAGGGAAATGGATGGAAAACCACATGATAAAGCAGCAAGCATGAGAAGGCTGCCCAGGAGCTCCATCAATACTGGGAGGTGGACTTTGAGACAGAGACCAAGAGTGACATCTTGTAACAATAAAAGGGGAAACTCATTTGGAAGACGTAACTGTCATAAATGACTAAGAGGCTAATAACAAAGAGTTTCAAAGACACTGAGCAAAAATGAAGAGAATTAAAGGTGGGAAAAAAAGACCAGGACAATCACAACTGGAGACTTAAGCAACCCTCTCACAGCAAGTGAGAGCAGCAGGGAGAGGTCAGTGACGGTGGCCACCCACCCTGTCCTGACAGACGTCTGCCCGTGGCTACTGCACGTAAGCAAGACCAGCTCTGCTCCGGCCTAGCTCGCACTGAATAAATGTGGAGCTTCAAAACCACGGAAGGCACGTTCCTGGCCCAAACAAATAAATTAGAAATTAACAACCTTTAGATACCTAGAAAAACTCCGAATATTGGATAAACTTTTACATAATCCCACTGGCCAAAGAAATCACAAGGGAAATTAGCCTGACTCAGAAAGAAATTCATAGCTTTATTTATTTGGGGGGTCTTTTTACCTCAAAATGTTCATGTTATATCCCACCTTAAGGAGGCGCAGGAAAGGTAAAGATACTAAAGCAGAGGGGTGGTAAGAGAGAGCCAGGGTCCTGGGTGGGCCCAGGCTCCGCTGAGTTACCTCATTGGCTGCGGCTGGCCCCGGGGGCGGGGGGGGTTGACGGCATCGCCCAGTGCAATGGCTAAGCGGAGATCCTTCTGAATGTACTTTAGGTAGAAATCAGGCTTAAAGTTTCCTTGCAGGATATCTGAAGAGGAAAAGTCACTTATCAGAAGAAACCCAAGGACCCTAAACAAAAAACCGCTTGAGGGACAGTGAATGGCATAGTGGTTACGTTGCTGGACTCCCACGTAGTCGACCACGGTTTGAGTCCTGGACCCAGTGGCTTAAACTCACGCCGGGCGCATGTGTGTGCATGCCCAAGATCCCGAGAGGAGAATGGAGGAGAAGGGATTGTGGTGTGGCCATCCCCCCTAGGGGTTGATTTCTCGCTTTCTATCTCTCTGTCTCTCTGTCTTTCTGGAGAGCATACACGCCCTATAGTGAAAATCTCTCAGAAAAACAAAAAACAAAAAACAAAAAACCACCCAAACAAACAAAAAACCACTTGAATACATCAGAGCTCAACAGCTAGCCTTTCCTCTCTACAAAACCCTCCACCCCCCGCTTCCTCAGATATCTCGGGGAAGGAGCACCCAGCCTGTGTCTCCAAGTCCCACCCACCATGTCTCTAAGCCTGCTTGGACTGGGGCTGTGTGTTGACTGGAGAGGAGGTGTTTTCACACCCAAATGAACCTCTGAGCAGAAAACTGATCTGTGACATCCACCTGATCTGGTTCCCCAGGTCTAGTAAAAAATCTCTGCAGAAAGAGGGGCCAGAGGTGACTTACTTTGGCACTTCTGGTCCAGGAAGATGCTGGCCAGCTGTCCCTGATTGAGGATGTCCAAGAGTGTCTGCTGGGACTGGCCCGTCACCTGGGCCAGGGTCAGGCCCTCGGCAATGGTGGCCATGAAGCTCCCTTGGACCATGTTCACAATCAGCATCATCTTGGCTGCGTTGCCAACTTCACCTGCCCAGGGCAAAGAGTCTGAGACACGTCCCAAGGGTTCTGCAGGTGGGGCTACTCTGCCCACTCTCACCCTACTCCATCCACCTCTTTGCCCACCCTTGCCCTGCTTCACCCATTTGTCTGCCTGAGGGAGGCCCGGTTCAGAGAGGACTGGCCCTTCTGCCTTGCAGGCACTGACTGAGCAAGTCAGAAAAACTCTGGCTTCCCCTGGGGCCTTTGACAGAGGTGGTGGGGATCTGGCAGCCCTAGACATCACTGTGGTCTGGGGGCTATGCCCCAGCTAGTGTGCAGGCCTGACGGGTGGGTAGGCATGTTACCTAGAAAGAAGGAGGTCTTCCCCATGGCCTGGAAGCAGCTGCTGCAGTCCTCGTATAAGCCCCTGTCTCCAGCTGCTAAGATCACCAACATCCCATCATTAGATAGCTGCTGATTCCCTGAGACTGGGGCTTCCAGAAAGCGGCCCCCCCTGGACACAATCACCTAGAAAGGAAAGGCACAGCTTCTGGAGGGCTTGTCTCTCACAGGGCTCTCCGGGCAAGAAGCAAGGAGCATCGTCGGGGGGCCATGGCTTCTCATCACCCCTTTCAGAGCCAGAAGGGTGGCAGCACGTGGCCACTGTGCTGGGACCCCAAAGCCAACACCTGCACCAAGGGCTAACACTGTGGAGGGCAGACGGGCGATCCTCCAATGGACGCACGAGCCACACGGCGGTAAGAGAAGCCGCCATGCAGGCGCCCGTTTACTCTGCATATCTGACAAGCACAGAACCAAACAACCGCGCCATCAACTCGGCAGAACACACCTCACCTACGGACAGCACCCTTCCCGGACTCAGTCACCCGCAGAGCTGCACGGTTCACGTGGCACTGCTCCCTCACTCGGGTGCTGATGGCAGTAGAGGAAGGCTACTTTGCAAATGTCACCTGTGCACAGCTGCTTAAACCAAAGAGGCCCAGTAAGCAGCGTGGGCTGTGTATCAGTGTAGGGCTGGTGGCTGCAGGACCGACGTGACACCCATCCTAGCTGTGCGGCCTACTCCCATGGCTCTGTAGAGGAGCCAGGGCTCTGAATGGAGAATGAGGACCGCTAGTCCCAGGCTCCCGGCCCCTCCTTTTCTCGGTCTGGCTTGGGCTTGAACTGAAAGGATGCTAGGGAGCCAGTGTGAACACGCTGCTACCTGGGCCAGCTCGGTGACGGTGTCAGCGTCCACAGTCGACATGTCCACGTAGCACTTCCCGGGGCGGATCCCTTGCAGCACACCACTGGGGCCTAGCACCAGCTGTGGGAGACAAAGGAGGAGCAATAGCCCAGGCCCTCTGAGGCGCTCAGGAGCCCTGTGGGCTAAAGGTTAGAACCCTGCTGCCTCTCTGACCCATCTCCTGACCAGGAGTTAACTATTAAGACCAAAGAGGGAAGAGCAGTTAAGTCAGAGATAGACAAGTATTTCCCACACATTTGCATTTATCTTTAAAATACATACATATTTCTTTTTATTAAAAACCCTCCATTTAAAAGAGCCTCTACTTTAGGGGCTTTCTTAGATTTACTAGGATTAGGCTTGTCACAAGTTTAATGAGATGACGACTGCACTTTAACTTCTAGAATATACAAATACAGCCACAGCGAGACACAGGAACTTGGCACTTGGACCAAAGGCACACTCAGCCCCCAACTTTGAGCTCAACATGAATGATTTGCACTTGGTCAGGAATCACTTCAACACAGACTTCAAGGACTCCAGTAGTTTTCATTCTTTGAGAATTAAAGGAAGTCTGTATCCATTTTATGTAAATACCCTTCACAATGAGATGGCCCCCAGACTGGAAAATCATCCCCGCATGCAGACACTCACTCCGTGTGCAGGGGAGAAGGGAAGGCCAGCCAGCTCTCCTGGCTTCGGCCGAGTCGCTGAGGGGAGGGAAGGGATCCTTACGTCCTTGGCTGCCTTTGGATCCGACACACAGGCGAAAGTGATGTCACAGGTGGAAACGACTTCAGCGGGGGTTCTTCCTAGGCGGGCCCCCTCCTGGATGAATAAATCACACTGCAAAAGTCACAGATCCTAACGTGAGCTGCAGGCAGTGCAAAACAAACATGCCAGCCAGGCCAGGGATATGCTGACCAGTCTACTGGGCGGCCTTCCAAGGCAGGAGGGTTAGGAGAGTCTGGACACCAGGGCTGAAGGTCCAACTTCCTGAGAAGTGGAAATGGCTTCTTAGGGACTGCTTCCTGGTTTTTGGGGGCCTAGATGATGAGGTACTTCACAAGAAGCATAAAACAAGTGTCTAACAAGTGTCTGCTGATGGCCTGCTGCTAGAAGACGGGATGTGAACAGCACCGGTACCCCAGGCCCTCTGTGGTCTCTGGTTATGTACTTAATAAAATCAATATTTACCCCTTCCTACCGTATGTGCTACAAGTACTTCTAAGCTGGTATACCTTACTACTATCTCTTTTCTGTAAATTTGAAACGATTTCCTAATATTTCTGAAAAATCAGTTGTCTTGCTTTTCCAAAAATTATTCATTTAATTTTATTTATCACTATTATAAAGATAAAATATAATATTTTTAGTTTGCCACTGGGCTTGTACCAAAGAGAGAGAGAGAGGGAGGGAGGGAGGGAAGGAGAGGGAGAGGGAGCAGGGGAGAGGGAGAGGGAGAGAGAGAGAGAGAGAAAGAGAGAAAGCAAGCTGCCAGGTCCAGGACTTGAATCATGGTCGGCCATGTGGGGAGTCCAGCGCTTTAACCACCATGCCACCTGATGGCCCCCAGCATCATCTTTATCAAAAGCCTTTTTAAAGGGTCCAGCCCAGGGTTCAAGTCCTAGACTTTGTGGTTTGCCTTTTCACTTTCCCGAATTTCTGTATCTCTCTGGTCAAATAACTAAATAAAAACAACAAATAAAAATAAGTAATTCCAAAAAAAGAAATTCTATAGGAATTGTTTTAAGAATTAGATAGCCTTTCTTCTTTTTCTTTATTTTTTGAGACATTTTGGCTATAAGGCACATGCACTTGCTAGAGAGACAGAAAGCAAGAAATCACTCTGTGGGGGGTGGGGTGGGGAGGGTGGCCATGCCACAGTCCCTTCACCTCCATTCTGCTCTCGGGATTTTGGGCATGTACACACCCAAGTGACTGGCGTGAGTTTTAAGTTGCCAGGCCCAGGACTCGAACCGTTGTCGAATACGTGCGAGTCTAGCGACATAACCATTATGCCATCTGCTGGTCCATTAGGTGGCCTTTTAAAGATAAGATTTACAAAATAATTCCTGCCAAGCATTGTGCTTGTGCCAAGCTAAGTACTTTTTATATCCACTCACTTCATCATCACATCCCTATGAAGTAGGTCTTCGGCTACCGTTTCACAGACCATTTCACAAAGAAGACTGTGCAGCTCAGGGAGGTTTAGTACCCTGTTGAAAAGGGCACACAGCATTATCTGTGATTTGAATTTAGGCCTGCCTCATTTCAAACTCAAGTTCTTAACTGCTTTGTTCTATTGCCTTTCTGTAAACTTATCTGGAAAGACTGGCTGCGTTAATAACATTTAGGTTTTCCATTCAAGAAAACAGGATAGGGTTAACTCCACAGCCTAGTGGTTAAGGGAGCTGGATCCTACATGGTTGAGGGCCCTGCCCTGGCATCTTGAAAAATATGCTGGGGGCCAGCCAGTGATGTGGTGGCAGGGGTGGCTAGATCACACATGGCCGACTGTGCACTGTGAGTCCTGGACCTGGCAGCTGAAAAAGCATGTGTTGTGCACGCCTGCCCAAAATCCTGAAAAGAGAAACAGAGGAAGGGGATTAACAGTGTAACCATTCCCCTGAAGTGTGCTTTCTCACTTTCCTTCTCTCTCTAACTCCCAGTGAGTGTGTGCACCCAATAGCAAATCAAAAAGAAAGAAAAGACTCTGGCAATTCTGACAAATACACAAAGAAAACAGGATGACCAGAGGCACATCCATCGAAAGGAAATGCTTGTAACACAGCCCCAGCTTTCAACAGTGGTAGGGCCTCAGAACACGAGTGTCTGAATCCCAACTACCCTGCCAGTGGCCTTCTGATGTCTCCCGGCTGACCTAGGACCCTGCAGTACCTACCGATGCCCAGCACCTGAGGCCTGCAGACCTGCGTGTGCCCTTTGGCCCTCGTTTTCCCCAGGCCTCCTGCACCTCTTCAACCATTCTCTTGCTATTCCTCAAAAGCACTCTGGTCCTACAAAGTGAGTTTTTTAACTTTGTTAGAACATTCTTGTCAATACGAAGTCATTAGCGCCGATACCTCCATCAGAAACCTGATCTCCTTTCAGTCTCACTACTGCTGGGCCCGCAGCAGCTCCCTGCCATGTGCATGTGCACACGCTCACCCCACCATGTTCAAGAGGCTGGTGCTCTGTCTTCCTTTGTTCCTGTGAGAAGTACAGTGCTTTGGCTTTGGGGTACTCAACTATGACTTCAGCTCTGCTTGGATGAAATTTTTTTTAAAGAGATTTTTACTCGAGGGCATAAGCGCTCGCTGGAGAGAGAGAGAGAGAAAGACAGAGAGACAGAAAGCGAGAAATCACCCCTCAGGGGAGATGGCCACGCCACAATCTCTTCTCCTCCATTCTCTTCTTGGCATCTTGGGTGCATGTGTCTGGCACATGTGAGTTTAAGCTGCTGGGTCTAGGACTCGAACCGTGGTCGACTATGTGGGAGTCCAGCGATGTAACCATTATGCCCTCTGCTTGACCCTGATGGGGTCATGGCCTCTGTCCATTACAAAAGGTGCCCTTCACAGACCTGAATCCCACATCTGGGCAGATACAGGCTCTCTGAAGCCAGGGGTCATTACCTTAGATTAAGAACTTCTTTTTTTTTGGGGGGGGGAGAGATTTTCACTGTAGGGCGCGTGCGCTCGCCAGACAGACAGAGAGAGACATAGAGACAGAAAGCGAGAAATCACCCCCCAGGGGGGATGGTCACGCCGCAATCCCTTCTCCTCCATTCTCCTCTTGGGATCTTGGGCACGCATGCACACGCGCCCAGCGTGAGTTTTAAGCCACTGGGTCCGGGATACGAACCGCGGTCGACTACGTGGGAGTCCAGCGACATAGCCATTACGCTAACTGCTGGTTCCCGGATTAAGAACTTCTGAATGTATGCTAATATGGATGCCCCTAGCCACATGAGGCTCAATTTAAATAAAGTAAAATAAAAAATTCAATTTTGAGAGCCAGACAGTGGTGCAGCAGTGACGAAACTAATGTTCCCAGTCCTCATCCCAGGGACGTGCTATGGGCACATGTGTGTCAGGATCTGGGGCTGAGCTGCAGTGTGGGGGACTCTGTCGGGCTGCTTTTCTTTCACGTAAAAAAAAAAAAAGTTCAATTCTTGGCCTAGCTTGGGAGGCTGGAAGCCACATGGGAGGCCCACTTTGGTTCCTGGACCAATGTGAACAGGCTGGGTGCAGCTGTGCAAGCCTGCAGTCCTAGCTAGCTGAGAAACTGAGGCAGCTCGATTGCACCACCGTGAGACTCTGTCGAAAGTAGCATGCTCTGTCTCTCTCCTGTTCCCTCTCTGTCTCATGAAGGGGAGAAGAGTAAACTCTTTAGGTATACTAGTGACTCTATAAGAAATCAATAACCAAATGTGGCTAGAGGCTACTGCTCCATTTGACGACATACGTGCAGAGCCTCTACCACCACAGAACGTGCTGCTGCACAGGAGTCCCACACTGCGCAACCCAAACACCGCACGACGGCAGCCGTTGAAATGCCCGCCTGCGTCCACTCCACATGAGATGCCCAGTATACACACACCGAAAGGCATTTACACATGCACAGGGAAAAGGGTATAAATCCCTGAGCTCTCTCAGGAACGGCAGTAAGCAGAGACTTCCCTTTCATTCTACACTTGGGGTACTTTTTTGACACTTGCCAGAGAGAGAGAAAGTAAGAAATCACCCTCCCAGGAGGGACTGTCCACACTGCAAAACCTTCTCCTTCATTCTCCTCTCAGGATTTTGGACACACATGCACATGCACCTGGTGTGATTTTCAAGCTGCTGGGTCTGGGACTCAAACTGTGGTCAGCTATGTGGGAATCCAGTGCCTTAACAACCATGCTGCCTTCTGGCCCCTACACCTGGGGTATTTTTAAATATCCAGTTTCCTAGAGACAACCCTGGCTTAAACGTTTCCACCTCTACTTGCCCGGATCTGGGATGCGGCTCTTCCTGCTCTACTGCAGAGTGCTCACAGACAGCAGCCCCCACCACAGGCCTGGCACGCCCCACTGAATGCTTACCTTCTCTGCAGTCCGGTTCCAGACAGTCACTGTGTGACCCATCTTGAGCAAGTTGGAGACGATGCCACTTCCCATGAGGCCGAGACCCAAAAATCCTATCCTGAAACAGACAGAGACCGATCAGGTCAGGACACAGTGGGAGGGACTGGGTGACCCTTCATGCAGCACAAGGCTTGCTCCCTGGAAAAGCTTAGGGTGTGTGTGTGTTGGGGGACTGCTTCAGCCCTCCCAGCCCCCGCCGTGTGTGGATGCTGTGACTGCAGAGCAGAGGCACCACACTCACGTGACACCTTCATGCTTGTCATGCCATGGTCTAAAAGTGTCCCTGAGTGGGAACCGGCATTTCTAAGCTCTTTGACTACACAGAAGAGGATGACGTGTGTGGTTCAGGGCCTGTCTTCCAAATTTGGCTGACAGAGGGCGTGGCCTACAACCCTAGCTGTAAGGAAGCAGGCATCGTCTTTGGCTCTGGAGGCGCTTTCTAGTTGATCCCTCTAGCGCTAAGCCTTCAGGTGTGTCCATGGCAGCTCTCTGAGCAGCATGCTCAGGTCCAGGCACCCTCGACTGGGGGAACTAGAATCACAGTTTTCACCTCTTTGCCGACTTCCACTGCACTCTCACAGTCCCCGACCTTTCCAGCCCTCCTGCTGTCAGGGGAGATGGGCTTTGTCTGTCTCCTCCAAAGTGAGGTCCTCAGCCCCAGCATCTTCCCTGGTACACTCTGCCTTCTCCCTGTACCTCTTCTGCCACTCTCCACCCCCGACAGCTCCTCACAGTCCACTTGTGACTACAGCCTTCAATGGACAGTCGTTCTGCTTACCTGTCCCCCTCAGCCTACTTCTCCCTGCCATCCTAGAACCTGGGGGCTGGTCCTGCCCACCCATTCCACCTGCTTCTACAGCTGATTTTCATCTGCCTCCAATGCCTCTCTGGTTCTTAGCTTACCTGCTCCCTGCCAGACACTGCTTCTCTCCATTTCCAGTTCTTCTTCATGTCTGATTTCCCTCAGCTCTAGGTGCCCCTGCAGTCTTCACTTCCGCCCTTGCTAGCCTTCCTGTTTTCAGTTGTCTGGAATCCCACCTGCAGAGACCTTTGCAGACCAGCTCCCCTAGTCCCTGGTGAAGACTCACTGCTCACAGCCTGTGTATCCCTGACTGTACTGAGACATTTGAATCAAATGTGGAAAATGGAACCTACCACCTTCTTCCCCAGGACAGGCCCCCTGCCCACACCAAGCTTCACGTGGTTTCAAAACAAGGAGGTATGCTTCTGTCATTCACAGGTATCTTGGCAGTGTGAGTTCCCTGAGGGCCTAAATCAAGACACACTAATTCTTTGCTTTTCTCATTATTCTAGGAAACCCAGTAGACTTGGAGATGAAGCTTCTGGACTTGTTTTTTGGAGAGGTTTTTGCTATAAGGCACGTGCACTTGCCAGAAAGACAGAGACATAGAGACAGAAAGTGAGAAATCACCCCCCAGGGGAGATGGTCATGCCTCAATCCCTTCTCCTCCATTCTCTTCTTGTGATCTTGGGCACGTATGCACACACGTGCCTGGTGTGAGTTTAAGCCACCGAGTCCGGGACTTGAACTGCGGTGGACTACATGGGAGTCCAGCGACATAGCCATTATGCCAACTGCTGGTCCCAAAGCTTCTGGACTTGTAACACGGCAACTGCCAGTCCCTCACAGTGTCTTTGAGACGAGACAGAGGTGTGGATTAATGTGGACTAGGGGACAAATCGAATGGCTGTTTGCAGTCAGCTTCAGACTCCTATTAAGAAGGGTTTGACTAACGGGGCAATACAGGCTTGTGAAAGCACCAGGACTGGATTCTTGGTCCCATCCTGGTCTTTTTAAAAATCAATACAATACTTGGGACCAGCAGTTAGCATAATGGCTAGCAAAAAAAAAAAAAAAAAAAATCAGTACAATACTTATAAAATTAAGATGACATCAATTTCTCTTTTTATTAACACATAACATACCTCTATCCAAAGGGAAGGTCACTAAAAATAACTTAGAGCATCAGTGATTTCAATAGTACATAAAAACTGCATAGTAAGAACTGTGTACTGTTTCTCTTTTGGGAATGAACTGTCTAGAAGGTACAAACTGGACATTTGGATGTGGTTTTCTCCCTCAGGGTCACAGGCGTCTTAGAAACCCTTTTCAGCAACACAAATCTGCAGGCACACCTGGCCCCCAGGAGGAGCAGAGCCACGCCTGCTATGAGCTGAGTTGTTGGGGCCACAGTCTGAGGCTTGCCCCTGTCTGGAAGGACTAGAAGCCACAGCAGGGAGAACCTGGGAAGCAGGAAGACAGGCTTCATTCCAGCTGCCTTCTCCTTTCTTCCCTCACCTATCTGTACCATGGCTAATTTTGGGATTTCCACCATGGTTCTGGTTGGTAGTTTTCTGAGTTTGGTGCCTGACTAGCAGCAGTGTATCTGGGAGCTTGTTAAAAATACGAATTCTTGGGCTCTACTGCAGCTACTGAGCTGCCCTCTGAGGGGAGCAACTCGTGTTTCACAGGCTGCCTTGCAGGTGCCTCTGATAGGAGTCTGAGAACCCTGGGACCAAGTGCTCCTTGCAGATAGCAGTGAGGTTCGCAGCCAAGCCCTCCGCTCATGCCCAAGGCAGTTGGTCCACACTGTGGAGTTGTATGATGACCTTTGGAACATAACCCTTAGGGTTCCTTGGGGTTCCACCCCTCACCCATACACCAGAGCCACAGGAGGCCTTTCCACCCAAGCTCTTACTTTTTGTCTGTGGGTGTGATGCTGCCGTTCACAGCTGTGCTGTCTGCTGCCTGGATGGAGGTGGAACCGGTCTCCTGCGGACAGGAAGCACACACAAGTCAGCAAGTCAGTCTACCCCAGTGAGGCCCCAGGTGCAAAGAGAACAAGGGCGGAGGACTAGAACTATGTATACCTCTTCACATATTTTCAACTTCTTTGTGATTGCCTGGTAACAGACAGCTGGCTAAGAAAGAGAGAGGAAAAAGATCAATTACTAAACTGAATGCTTAATGGAGCTTCATTATAAGTTCTCTAAAAGGTTAGGCCTTGAGTGGGAAGCTACCACCTAATATGTGTTTGTTAAATAATTTTGCTGAGCTCCAAGTCATACTCTAGAATGGACAATGCCTCAGTCCACTCTCCAAGCAACTTGACAAGGCTCCTTTGCTGACCATGCCAAATCACATGCCCAGTTACGAAGCTGGTGCGTGTAGCTGGGCTGGGAACCAAGGTCCGTGCCACTCCAAAGCCACCAACAGCATCAGAGCCTAACCCAGGGCCTTGTGAGACTCTGGGAAAGATTCCCTTTACAAGCACAGGTTTAGAGATGGCCACAACCAGCGAGAAGCAGGGCTGATAGCTCATGGGCTGGTAGCTCATGATGTCTGGCTTCTGGCCTAGAATCAAAGGTAATCTTGGATATCAACCATCCAACTGATTGAGTTTTAGTAATTTTTTTTTTTTTTTTTTTTTTTTTTTAAATTTTGATTTATTTTTCATCTCTGTGAGGCCTGGCTCACTAGGGAGCCTATACTATGACCTCTGGGGTGGCTGCCCAGGGCACGGGTGGGCAGAATGCAGTGTTTAGACTATTAGGGTCCCAGCAGAGTAGCACTCTCCCCTCAGACGAGCCCTGCACCAAGGACCGAGAGCCGCAAAGAGCAGCTCACCTTCTCTGTTTGGCTCAGCAGGAGTGATGGAAATGAGGATCTGCATCTTTAACAGGCTGAAAGACAAAACAGTTAGTAAAACCAGTGCTCTCCCACCGAGGCTGTTTCCTTCCATCTGTAACTACACTACCCTCTAGCTGGACCACTACTGGGTTTTCTGAGTCTCTTTTTTATAACTGTCTGGAAATAGTTTTCCCATTTTTGGCTGAAGGCTTTCAAAAATGACCCCCATTAAATAGAGAAAAATAGCTTCAAAGAAAAGAACAGATGCTTCTGCCAGGTTGGTATATAAATTACTCCCATGTTGTGGGGAACACTAAAACGCACACCAGTGGTGTTCGAATCCGGTCTCCACCAGACACTCCAGACAGCGGGCAGACCCAGCCACATCCATGTGTGGGACTTTCCCCATTGCAGGGTTGTGGGCTCCTCACACTGATGGAGCAACGGGCGGCGACAACTACACACCAGCGACAGGTGCAGCCACTCTGGGCACGGCACGACCCACGGCTTCTTAACGCCAAAGCTGAATGTACGACAGTCAGAAGGGCTTTTAAAAAATATTTGCTGGAGGGCATGTGTGCTCCCCAGAGAGGGAGGGAGTGAAACTGAGAAGCACCCCCCACAGGGGGGATGCTCACGTCACAATCCCTTCTCTGTCTTCCTCCTTCAGGGATTTTGGGCACGCACAAGAACAGGTCCATGTACTTTTCAAGCCACCAGTCCAGGACTCACACCATACAGCTTGCTATTCGGGACCCAGCTGCCTTCCCACACTACTAGCTGGCTCATGGGGCTTTGAAAAATATTAAATAAGAAGCATTTGTGAAATGACCCCACTTTTATGAAAAACTACTCTACTCTCGTAAAGAGTCGTCAACATGGATGTGCTGCCAACAAGGCATAGGGAAGGCGGGAGTTGGTCCCCACGGACGACACGGCATTCGTCCTGGAGAGCGGAGAGGGTTACATTTCTTCACGGATTCCAGCACTGTTACGCAGTTTGAAAAAAGCACCTCACACACAGGAAAGGGGAAAAACAGGAAACCAGCCTTGACGCCCAGGCTGCTGCAGGGAGTCCTTACCTCGCTCGCGGTCGGCTGCCATTTAAAGGCAGCCATGGGTCCAGCCATCATTCCTCTCACGGTACTAGACTCAGGCACAGTGAGGTCCTGGAGGGAAAGGTAGGTGTCACCACTCTGCTTCCTGCAGAGCACATCCAGGCCTGAGCTGAGCCCTAAGCAAGCTCAGGCCAAGTCACTGGGAAAAACAGGGCACAGAGTGGGCCTTTCTTCTTGTTCCCTGAAAGACCGAAGTGTGTTCTCAGGTCCACATTTCACCGTGGGGCACTGGAGAGCCCTGAGCAGTCCGCAGAGGTGACGGCAAAGTCGGGGACCCCCTTGGTGAGCAACGAATGCTCCGAAGGCAGGTGTGGCTTCCGTGGCATCCAGCACATCTGGAGAGCTGAATGCAGCCGCAGGTGCCCATGAGACCCACCCTCAGCTCCTAAGTGACAAAGCCAGGCAGAGCCCAGGGCAGTTGGAGCCCAAGGGACCTTCATGCTCCTGAAGTGGGCGCGGGGAGCACGTGGCAGTCAAGCCGCCCCCGCACTCTTGGACAGTGGCCACGTTTTAGCTTTGGGTCTGCTCTGATGTGCTCTCTGCTCCCTTTCCTACTCGCTCCCTTCCAGCCACAGTGGCCCTCCTGACTGTCCACTTGGGTATCCCAGGAGAGCCTCCACATGCCTGACCTCTCCACATCCCTGCCAACTGTTCCTCAGTAGTCTTCTGGTCTTAGGCCTCGGTCACTCCGCCTCACTAGGCAAGAGCTCTGGACTCCTGGACTCAGTGTCCCTCTAACCCCTCAGCAATGACGTATGGCTTTTATCTGGGCACCTAGATACCCTTCCTTCTCCCCATCCCTGCTAACAGCAGGCTCAGTCCACCATCGCTTATCCCTTGCATGGCTACAGAACAACACCTGCGTCCTCTCTGGACCCCACAGCCAAAGCTTTACTCGCAGCCACAGTGATCTTCTAAAAGGTCAAGTCAGACCATGTCACTCTTCTGCCTAAAACTCCTCTGGCTTCCTGTCTCCTGCAGTGAAGTTCAAGCCCTCATTATCATGGCCGGCAGGAAGGGCCTTTCATGACCTCATGGCCCCACCCCATGCTAACCTCCCACTGCATGACCTATTTCTGCCCCTACAATACTCTCCAGCTCCTGGTACTTTGCTGTCCCTTCACTGTGCCCAACATACCAAACACATGCCTACCTCAGTGAGTGCACTGCTGGGAATGTCCTTTCAACAGTAGCTACCTGGCCCTAGGCTCGCTGTGGGTCTCTTCAAATGTCATCGTATCAACGTAGCTTTATCCGGGACCTTCTGGATCTCTTCCCACTGGCATGTGAGGCTGATGCTGATGACAGCGACAGCAGACACTCCATGGAGCTTACCGGGTGCCGGACGTCGTCGCCAGCATGACTCTCTACGTGCGCCTATCTACTCCTCACTGTCCTGTGGGACAGAACTACTGCCGTCACCACGCCACGGAAGAGGAAAGCAAAGCAGAGAGCTAGGGGGCCTGAAGTAAGGTCAAGTCATGTGTGTGGAGGAAACGCAAACCTGGGGACTTGGCTCTGGGGTCTGTGCAGCTGCAAGTGCATTCCAGGAGAAGACCTTTGTCAATTTTGCTCACTCTGAACCCCACGTAGAACCATGCCTAGCATATGTTGGGGTTCAATATCTACTGAATAAATGAACAGGTTTCTTCACAAGAGGGGCCTGGGCTTTTATGTTACTTTAATTCTAGGTATCTGGCTTACGGTAAATCCACTCAATAAACATCAGTTCAATGAAGAGGGTTTTGGGGGGAAAAAAGGCCTGATGCAGGACAGCCAAAACAACCTCCTGGAGTGATGAGCTGGCTCCACATCTGTGCTTCTGACACAGGAGTCGCTCCTCACATGATCCCAGAGAGCAATCGGCACAGGCCAGAGAGACCAAGAAGTCATTTTAAATGATTTCCTAGCTCATGGCTAGGACAGCACAGCTCGACTCGGCAGCTCCAGGGACCTGCCTAAGGTCAGTGGCAGCATGGGAACAAAGTGAGTGCAGCTCTTGGTCCAGCAATAGGAAAGGCCTTGACTCTTAAACTGCTGCTCTTTGAGCAAACCTGGAACTTCTGGAGCCTCAGGCCTGAGGTCACCACACCCACTGGGGCAGGAAACCAGAGCCCCAGGGTGTGTGTGGGGTGGTGGTGCTGTTGGGCCTGGATCTCACACAGAATCTAAACACAAACCCAGCCTTGCCTGCTTGCATGTAACTGACACCTCGGTGATCAAGGTCAGCCTCTTCGTTAATCCCCCGGGCAGATTATCCCCAGAACAGCATTCGTCTGGGGCTTTGCCCAGTCACCAGCCTATGCCGCTCATAGCTTCTGAGAGCTCATAGCTTCTGAGAGGAGCCTGTCGGCCGCACTGCAATAACTACAGCAACGCACGCACACACCTTCAGATTACAGGGCCTACCAGGTTTGAAGACACATCACAATTCCAAAGCCCAGGCGCTCACTCTGTGTTCCTGAAGTGCGGGACCGAAACAGCTCTGCCCAATGTAGTGCCCGCCAAGCCCTGGCCTCCCCTGCTGACACATCCTCCTGCTTGGGGCTGGGCCAGGTATACAGTGCAGAAAGGCCTGAAGGGTCAATAGGAGGAAGAGCTCCAGGCAAAAATCACTGGGCCCTAAATTAGTAGCTCAGGGATTCTGCTCATTACTGGGAGCTGGTGAGTAGAGTCCCTCCGTGATACACCCAGCAGTGACCCCCAGGGCTGGGCCAAACAACTGTCCACCCAGCTCTCACTATGCGACTGGCTACTGCCCTGAAGCAGCACCTAACAACATGAGCTGAACGCTGTGTTCCTGGCAGGCTGTCCTCTGTGCCCTGACCATGTCACTCCTTCCGTTCTTACGAGCCTCAGAGGCACAGATGATGATTATCCCAAATGAGACGAAAGAACCCAGGCAAAGTCACTCGGTCAAGGTGGCACAGCTGTTTCAAGTCAGAGCTACAACTCAAAGTCAGGGCCTTAAACGGACTCTCTCCTTTGCACTTCCCTTCATCCAGAAAGTCACTGTCTCTAGGGCAACAAAGGAATTGGTGAGAGGTATGGCGTGAGGTACCATGGGAATGTGCATTTGGAAGTCACACCACCTACAGTCCAGATGCATTCTGGATCCTTAGGAAATAAGTTCAAAGAGTCACATTGTGTTTTCTGTGGATAATCAGCTCATACCTCCTGTAAAGTTCTTTCTGCACTGCAGCTGAGATTTCTTTTTTTTTGTGGAGAAGTTTCTGCTATGGAGCGCGTGCGCTCACCAGAAAGACAGAAAGCGAGAAATCCCCTCCCCACCCCCCGCCCCGGGGATGGCCACGCCGCAATCCCTTCTCCTCTCGGGATCTTGGGCACACATGCACACGTGCCTGGCATGAGTTTAAGCTACCGGGTCTGGGCCTCGAACCACAGTTGACTACATGGGAGTCCAGCGACATAGCTATTATGCCAACTGCTGGTCCCTGCAGCTGAGATTTTCTAAGGCCTCTTTGCTTCTAGACTCACTGACGATGTGCAGGGATGTCACCACTACGATGCCGGCCCCCACTACACTCTCAGTCTTAGGCCATGTGGCAGTGAGAAGGAGATGGGCTGTCTCTAACCTAGGTCATATGCATGCCATCCACAGGCTACAACTCGCCCAGAGAAAAGTTTCTTAGGACCCAGACTTGTAGCATTTGAAATTAAGATATTTCACATAAAAATCTGTGTTCCCAGTTTCTCTTGAGAAAACCCAGACAATCTGATGGCAGTTAGCTAGAACTCTGTGAATGGAGCATGACCCCCCCTCCAGGGCCCCGGCTGCGGTGGCCCTCAGCACCAATTCGGGCCAGGTGCGGGCCTCTGGCTCCAGGCCTTGGTCCTCCCTGCCTGGCTCACTGGGGTCTGAGTGTGTAAGCCCTGATCTGGCATTTCCATGCAGTCTACTCACTCACCTGCTCAACAGCTGTCTGGTTTCTGCTCCCTTCCTTCTATTTCGGTCTTACTGGGGACCTCTGATACAGACCACCTCTTCATTTCAAAACTCTCCTCCCTAGGCTTGTGAGACTGGACCCAGATCTTGCCAGCAAAAAGGCACGAGGTGCAGCCTTCCCGCGTCACCTCCCCCTGCTGGCTCCTCTACTCTTCCCGCCCTGCTGTCCTGGGACAAGCTCTATCCTCTCCTCCTGATTCAACTCTCCTTTTTACAGTCCTCCCCACTCCCTGAGATGGACATTTCTAGACGTGAGAGTGCTGCAAGCCTCCCTGTTGAGGTTGTGCCTTAAATTCACCACATCCAAAACAGAACTGGTCCGCTCTCCTACAAGCCAGTTCCATTTCCTGACGCCTCCTTTTTAATTATTAAGGTTTTTGCCATAGGGCATGTGCACTCGCCAGAGAGAAACAGACAGTGAGAAGGAACGTGAGAAATCATCCCCCAGGGGGACGGCACAATCCCTTCTCCTCCATTCTCCCGGGATTTTGGGCATGTACACACTTGCACCAGGCAAGACTGTTAAGCCACCGGGTCTAGGACTGAAACTGCAGTCAGTCATGTGGGTCCAGCACTGTAGCCACTGCACCACCTGCTGGAGCCCCGGCTCCTCTGCTTTTAAGGAAGCAACTGCTATTTTCCCAGAATGAAGCCTGACCTCAGCTTTCTTTCCCTTTTTTCATTCACCCTCTACATAACTAGCGGCCACTCTTAGAAGCTCTTTCTTCTCGTCCCTTTATAAACATAGGCTTGAGCTTAGCCTCCTAATGGGCTTCATGCCTTTCTTCCCTGCCCTCCATGATAACCAGCATGTGGCTTGGAGCACACTGCTACCCTGACATCGAGCTGAAAGCCCTTCAAGAGCCCCCACTGACACCAGGGCATCTTGCTGCTTGTGGACCTCAAGTGTGCCACGATCCAGTGACAATCTACTTACTGCTCTCTGCCCTCCAAACTTCCTTCTCCTGTACTGAGAACACTCACGCCAACGCCGAGCCTCAAGTGGGCTAAGCTCTCCGTACCTGATGTACCTTCCCTCTTTCTTCACTAAGCCCTCCCCAGGGCCGGCCTTCACACGCTGGCTCAGGTGGGTCACTTTCCTGCCTTATGTTTCTCCCTCATGCTTATGCATGCAGGCCGCGTCTCTCACCTGTCTGCAGGGTTCTTAGCAATGCCCACTCCGTGAGTAAAAGCTCATGTACAGCTTAGGCATACACAAAACAAGTCGCTAGGCCCGGAAGCTGCAGAGACAGAACAAACCTTCTCATCCTTTGGGGGCCGACCCCGCTTCCGGGGACTTTGCTCTTGGGCTCTTTTCAGAGGGGATTTGGAGCCTCTCTCTGAAGAGCCTGAAGACACCCTCTTCTTTCCTTCTCCCATGTTCTTCTTCACCTTCCCTTCAGACAGGCTAAGTTTGCGCTTCTCATCACCTGAGTTTGGCCTACTTCTTTCCTCACTGGAATTACGCCGATTCTTGTCATCAGCAGAATTGTGGGATGATGTCTGAAAGTTTAATAATAATAATGATAACCACCACAAGAGCTGCCGCCACTGCCACCATCAACACCATTTACACGTGCCATGCATGGCTATAGGCACTTTTTGTGTACATAATTCACAAAATAGTGAGTTCTGCTTCCATTGTACTTGCATTTGGGGAAGTAGATTAAAAAAAAAAAATCAGGTGTCTTGTCCAAGGTCCCGAAACCCAGGCAGTGTACATACTACAGAGGCTGTTCTCCTAATTTCTGCTACAACAGGGACAATTGGCTCATGCACTGAAAACCTGAAGTACTTCTGGGTCAAGCAAGCTTCCTAAGAACGACAATCTATTTCAGGAAGGTTAGCTGCATGCATGGAGTTTCAAGCTGATTAGCAAAATGCTGATACCTTAAAATCAAAGTAGCTTTCTTCCCTGAGACTAGAGGTTCAGATTTGGGTGACATTTAATCTGTTATGTAAAGATAATTGGTCTGGTGTTGGTGTAAAGTGAAAACTGTAGTCTCTCACCTGGTCTTTCCCTTTGGTTCTCCTGAGGAACTCTTCAACGGCATCCACAGCTTGCTGGAATCGCTTACCCTTGTTAATCTTTATCATTTCCTCTTTATGCGCATGATACGGCTTCAGCTGTTCCACCTTGATCCAGGCACTAGCAGAAAACAAACACAGAAAGGGTAGGACCCATACTGCATAAGCCAAAGTGTCAAAGATCTCACCAGAGTAAAATGGCTTTGAAACAGGCTAGAAATTTCTTCAAAATGAGCTTTTAATCATCCCAAACTCTTGCCTAAAGTATATTTTCTTAAAATAAGTCAAGCAGAACCACCACAAGCACCACAAATCAGAACAGGCCCAAGTGAGACCCCTCGACTGCAGGCTGCTTATTCCTCTCTCACTCACCAGCCCTTCATGCCCAACCATACACACCCCAGGGCAAAGCAAACCTGGACACTCTCACCATACAGGACAAATGGCCACACACAGAGTCCTGAGAAACAGGACACTGGGAGCATCGTAAGCCACAGCTGGCAGGGCAAAAAGAGACCTGCTGCCCGTCCATACACTGGACCAGATTTCCGGATTTTTGTCCATTAACTGTGAGTCAGGGCTGAAGAAATGCACTAGCGCCTAAAATGTGCTGCTCCTATAGATACTTGCAGCCGTTGAGCTTGTATTTGTTCATGAAGGCTGGCGTGCAGGACCGCTAAACCACGAATAAACATGAAATACATGACTTGGAATAAGGGCAGCAGCCATAAAAGAAAGTCTGCAAAGGATGTGCTTCTCGGGCCAGCAGGTGGCTTGGAGGGTAAGGTACTAGGTGCCACACGGCTGACTGATTCCCGGACCTGGTGGCTTAAACATCACGCAGGGCACAAGTGCGTGTGTGCCCTAAATCCTGAGAATGGAGAAGGGACTGATGTGTGACCGTGATTTCTCACGTTCCCCCTCTCGTGAGCACACACACCCTATGGCAAATAAATCAATCAGATTCTTCTTGAAATTAGTGTAGAAAAACACACTCTTCTGACATTTAAGTTTTAATTCTTACTACCAACGTGTAACATATGCAAGTTAAAAAGAGCTGTCCATCATCAGTTCTGGAACACCGGCCTTCCACTTAATCTGAACGAATCTACTACAACTGCTTTTCTGTGGCTCCACACACATTCAGCGTGTGGAATTCAAATATGAAATAGTGAGTTTTGCAGGCTTGGCAAGGGATTGGTTAATTTACATCTTAGCCTATAATACAGGTTTCATGGTATAACCTTCAGAAAAAGTGGGTCAGGTTAAGGATACAGAAACTGGGCTACCTCACTAAGATTCCTTTAGGAAAGCTAGAGAACTTTCATCAACACTAGCAAAGTGCTAACTGCTATACATAAAAGTAACGCTACGATCCATCCCCAACTACCTATGCTTTGAGCGTTGAGCTAATAATTATGATGACAGGTCTGTACAAACTCCGCATCCCAGGGACACCTGCCTCGCTGCAAGGCAGTAACCCAGGACCAGGGACACTATCCACGCCTAAAGCAAATGATGAACGGGGACACAGACATTGGCTTCACTGACAGAGCTCCTACCAGAGGAGTGAAGCACAGACTTTTCTAGTGACACACTCATCTTTTTTTTTGAGAGATTCTTCTGCTATAGGGCACATGTGCTCGCTGGAGAGACAGAAAGCAGGAAATCACCCCCTGGGGGGGATGGCCACACTGCAATCTCTTCTCGACTCTCCTCTGGGATCTTGGCACCCACGCACATAGACCCAGCATGATTTTCAAGTCAATGGGTCTGGGACTTGAACCACGTGACCAATTCATCTTAAAGTTTGAAATCTGACTTCAGAACTGATGGCTCCAATCTAAAAGAAAGAAAAATGGAATGAGATTTTTTTGTTTAGTTTTTAGAGGATTTTGCCTTAGAGTATGTGGACTTGCCAGAAAGAGACAGAGACAGTGGGAGGCCATGCCACAATCCCTTCTTCATTCTTCTGGGATCTTGGGCACACATCCACATGCGTGACCAAGTGTGGAGTTTCAAACCACCTCAGCTGGTCATGTGGGAGTCCAACAATGTAACTGCCATGCCACCTGCAGGCCTCGGAATGAGAGTTAGAGCCTGTACTTTCTGACAATTTTATCACTGAACTGATCCCCATGCCTCTCCATGCACTCACAGAGGTTCTGAGGATGAACCAGAGCTGTGGCTGCAAAGTCAGGTAAATTCCACATAACAGTCTGCTCTGAGACAGTACAGGAGGCCAACTCAGGACTGGTTGAGAACCAAGAAGCTGAGAACCACCCACGTTTCCAGCATCGGACAGTCGAGGAGATCCTCACGGAGCCCCGAGCTGGGACGGTGGACCCTAAGAGCCCCTGACCCCACTCACTCCACCCCACTACTGCTCTCCACTGTCACCTGCTAGTTCATCTCCCTGCTGACTCAGGGCAAATGAAAGGCGAGGAGCTGTGGAGGATGCACCAGTTAATCAACACCTATTTTTTTTTTTTTCTGGTGAAGCATTTAGAATGGATTACTGATTTTTGCCAGAGAACAGCAACATCTAAATGCCACTGACCTTGAAGACAGGAATTTGAGATAGCAAAATGAAGTTTTCCTTGCTACATTTCTGGCATGTTAAAATGGTCTGCTGGGGGACCAGCAGGTGGTATGGTGGTTAAGGCGCTGGACACTCCCACATGCCAACCATGATTCAAGTCCTGGACCTTGTGGCTTGCTTTCTTACTTTCTCTCTCTGGCTGTGGGTGTCTCGCTCTCTCTGGTCAAATTAAAAATGAATAAATAAATAAACTTAAATAAATCTTTAAAAAAATGGTTTGCTAAATGAAATAACAGTATAAATATGACTTGCTCCAATTCCCTCTTCCATCTCCCTACTGTCAAGATTTTGGCCATGCACACACATGTGCCTGACATGCTTTTCAAGTCACTGGGTCCTGGACCTGAACTGTGCAGTTGGCCATCTGGCCACTTTAACCACCATGCCACCAGCTGGCCTTTCAATCTATACAAGAAATCAACTTACTACTGATGAAGGATCATGTAACAACAGAAAAACAGCCAATACAAATCAGCTCCCCAGAGTCCTAGGGTTCCCTGTGAGAGCAGTTACTTTGGCCATGTGAACAGAACTTTTCTTTTCTTGGAGAGGTTTTCGCTATAGGGCGCGTGCGCTCGCCAGACAGAGAGAGACATAGAGACGGAAAGCGAGAAATCACCCCCCAGGGGGGAGGGTCACGCTGCAATCCCTTCTCCTTCATTCTTCTCTTGGGATCTTGGGCACGCACGCACATGTGCCCGGTGTGAGTTTTAAGACACCGGGTCTGGGACGCGAACTGCGTCCGACTACGTGGGAGTCCAGCGACATAGCCATTACGCTAATTGCTGGTTCCTGTGAACAGAACTTTTCTAAAGGCTATACTGCAAACAGTCCACGCTTTTCTTTTTTTCTTTTGGAGAGATTTTTGCTATAGGGCACAAGCACTTGCCAGAAAGAGACAGAGACAGAAAGCGAGAAATCACTCCCCGGGGGGGTGGGGGGGATGGCCATGCCATGATCCCTTCTCTATTTTCCTCTCAGGATCTTGGGCAAGCATGCACACATGCCCAGTGTGAGTTTAAGCCACCAGGTCTGGGACTCAAACCACGGTCGACCACATGGGAGTCCAGTGATGTAGCCATTACGCCATCTGCTGGTCCTGTGTCCATGCCTTTCAATAATCTACCACTCTTGAACTCAATGAGGCACATTAGCTGAGCCCGACAAGTCCCAGTGTTCGATACTTAACTACTGGGTATACGACAGCTTCTAGGTACTTTGGGGAAGGTGGATGGCAGACCTGGGGGCTAAGAGGTGCTAGAATGTTCAGCTTTGCAAACTTCAGTGCCTGCCCTGCTGTATTATTGCTGACTTTTAAAATGACTTTTACTTCTTTCCTTTTGTTCTTTAGGTTTTTCTTTGTTCATGTTCAGCTTGTATGTGCACACAGTGGGAAAATAAAGAAGGGAAGGAACACCCTTTATAGGGTCTGGTCAAGTCATGACACACACACCCCTCCCCCCCCCTCCGCCACACACACACCTCTAGGCCTTCAGCGGGATGGATCCTGGGCACCCAGGTGTCTGCCTGGTGTGTTTCAGGCTGCTAGGAGGAGGACTTGGAGCATGGCTGCTGCCCAGAATCTGGCTTCCCCTGAGCAGTGCTTCACTTCCATGCCCTGGGACTGGCCCTGTTTCTTTCTCTGACATAAGCTGAAATTTGTGATGGGCCTCACAGCATCTTCCTAAGGTCCAGATGGAGCTATACCTTTTCTGCCCAATTTGCAGTGGACTGGCAAAGAAGAAAGACCAGCCATACTCCAGATGTGCCTGGAGTACGAAGCTCTGCTTTTATTACAAGGGAATTAATGACACGTTGCCTGTGGTAGAAAATGCCTGAAAACAAGTTAAGTGGCTGTTGGTAAAGTCATCAGAGAGGAAAATGGAAGGTGCCCCAAGGTTTTGGCTAAGTGGAGAAAGCAAGGAGAGCAGAGTGCAGTGTGAAACCATCTGTGCAAAGATCAGGACAAGGCATGGGCAATTTCTTGACAGTATACCGTCTCCGGAAGACACGCCTTAAGAAATAAGTATAACAGGTGGCTGAGGAAGGGGGTAAATGGAACCATCTCACTGTTGACAGCCCAATGTACTTCCTTCTGAACCACAGACACACTTCCTTTGAGAAACAACGAATCAGAATTGTAGGCCTCTGCTACTGAACACAGGTTATTCTCATGCCCAGGGATCTCTACGTGACTTCCTTGTTTGTAGGTCTGCTCCTGTGGGACTCGTCTGGCTGCTGGTGTAACCGTACCTGGAACACAGCCAAGAGCAACAGACTCACCCTGGTGTTGATGTACGTCCCACAGAGCCTCTGCACCTGAGGGTACAGAATGGGCACAAAGCCGCTCTGGCTCACGACTCAGAATGAAGTCAAAACTCACATTTCCAAGAACTTCCACACTCCTATCTACTTTTGCCCTTAAATGAAAATTACACACCTATATGTGACCAAGATATAAGTATAGGGTCTGGCCCTGTGGCCTGGTGGTGAAAAGAACCAGATTCCACACAGCCAAC